AGACAGTATTATCTATATTGAAAGATAATACTCTTCGACTTGGACTAAATTTCAAACAATCGATGATTAATAGAATCATAGCAAAATTTCTATATAAATAAAAAAATAATATTTCATTAATTTTAGCGAAATAGTATAAACACCGCTTATATTAAGTTAACATGAAATAATATGATAATAATCCAAGATTTTTCATTATAGACACACACGTTTTTCTCACGAGGGTGTTTATCATTCGCGCAGGATTTATCATCCGTGCCGGTTTATCATCCGCGCAGGTGTTACTCCGAAGTTTTAATTCAGATGTCATGACGTTGACGGTTTGTGGTAAACGGCCGTTATAACCGTCCCGACGGAAGGTGGATTGGTGGATAGCCGGATAGCGTCGCTCGGAGCTCGAACTGCTTGGACTGCTCGGAGCAGCAGCGGTGGCGCGAGAGTACGATGACCCGTCTGTTCGCATGTTACGAGCGCTGGCTCGTCGCGGTTGCGTCGTAGTACGTCAAGGCAGATATTCCCTTTATCGCGCGTAGAAAGCACACTCGGGAGTTGGGAGACGGGAGTCGGGAAGAAGAAGGGAGCATAGACGGGCGGCGGGTGAGCAGCGGCGAACCGAGCCATTGCGCAGCCGCTTATTTTGTTCGGTGGGCGAGAGGCGGGCGGTGACGGACGCACGTTTAGCGGGGCATGGCGCGGTGCGCGTTCTAGTAAACAAGTTGTGTGCGAGTCGCGCGGGGAATCTTGCGCCCTGACCGAGCAGCCGCCGCGCGATATTTATTTAACGACGCGACGCGTCGCGTCGTCCCTCGACCTCTTTCAAAGATCTCGCCGTTCTGTCTACGGGAACGCTGGGGAACGCTGAGGAACGCTCAACAACGCTCAACGCTCAACGCGGCCGAGGGATAAACAAAACTCGGACAGCCGCGAGAGCCGATTCGTCTCTCTCTCTCTCTCTCTCTCTCTCTCTCTTTCTCTCTCTCTCTCTCTCACTCACTCACTCTCTCTCTCTCTCTCTCTCTCTCTCTTTCTCTCTCTCGCGCTTTCGCGTGTTATGCGTTCGCGGGTGTGAATGGTGTTGGTGTACGCGGAGAAAAGTTACCGCCACTGTGTTCGCCACCGGTCCTGGGCTCCTGGGATCTCTAACGGAGGAGGCGATCTGGCGATCTTCGATCGTGCCTCGACGGAAGGAGCCGTCGGCGAGTCGCCGTCGTCGCCGAGTTATGACACCTCGCTACGCGTTTTGGGGCTTCCGACTAGACGCCGTGCCTCGGTGAGTCCTCTCCTCTTTTCGATTCTCTCCTTCGCGTCGTTTTCGCTTTTCCGCCGCACGCGCGCGAACCACCATGTAGCTCGAGTCTCGGCTTTTCTGTGACGTATTCGCGGTGTAATTCGACTACTATCGAATACATGGAATACCGTTGCAAGCATACAGTTTCTTCGAATTAATACCCATTTCATGAAATGTCCGATGGACTTGTTTTTCTTCAATTTTCGGCTTTTATCGAAGTGTTTTTCCCTGTCCTTCCGTTTATCTACCTATTTATCTACCTGTTCCGAATCGCATTCCTTTCCTCGCTCCGTCCTCAATAGAGAAGGAACTC